TCATTAAAAATTGTTTGTGATTATTTGATACGTGATCAAGAGATATCCACTAGAAGACTATCCACTGTTTTAGCTGAAGATCCTGTGGTAATGTTTTTTATTTTCTTGTCTAATTACCAAAGCGTATTAATTCCTTAACTTAACAAACTTGACAAAGACTGTATAATATTAATAATGGTTTAATCTAGTATAATATTAATAATGGTTTAATCTAGCTAGGATGCAGCCCTTTATAAACTAGTTATAGATATAATGCTGCAACCTTGTACACCAAAAAGTACAATTTGTTTCCATGGAAACACACAAACTATTAAATCCGTGAAATTTGTAATTATCAAGAGGCAGAACTAGTACAATAGGTTGATGTGTGTACAAAGTATCATAAAGATATCTTGAACGGTTTAGGAGATATTCTCTGAAATATTTCGATTGACCTCTTTTAATCAGATTGAATTGAAGCCAGGAGATTATACCACTGTTGATATTCTGATTTTATTTTCTCAATTAAATTAAATGTGAAATGATTAATTTCAATACTAGTAGATTTTATCATGGATTAAGCTGTAGACAATTAGGTCATGTATGAAAAATGATGCATCAAGACTTTAAGGTGTAAAAATTAGATAATGTGTGAAAAATATTTTATTTCAGAATCAACTGTAAGGTTGTAAAAATCAAATAGACAGAGAGTGTATTGTTGTCATCTGTTCATAATGGTTTAGATTGGTTCATGAAAACACCTTCATTTATAGGTAAATATTTATAATACTGCTGGGAGTCATGGCGACCGTCTTCATTACCTCAATGGGTGAAGAAAACTAAAACTTTACACCTGCTTAAATGATATGTTTATTAAGTGTTACTTGTGTCTTCTATTCGTTTTGTTTTGTTTTAAATTTGCTCGATATTCAAACCACGGATCTCACTTTAGATAGTTGACCGAAGATAAAAAGTTTATTCTCTTATTTGGACGAGTCAGAAATGCAAGGCTTCATATTGTACACATTGTCGTGTACGTAATAGAACCCTTGACAGACAGTTGGAATTTTGTGGAAGTTTAGGTGTCTGAGCAAACTTTCCCTCATAGTACACTGTATATGCCGGTCTTCATTAGTCCTGTAGAAGCAGAAAAGTAGGACGTTTAACCCCAGTTCATGTTATATCACTTAATCTACATTTAAAATAAATAGTAACACATAATATAAGATCATGTTTGGTTTTTTTTTTCAGGAGGTAAAAAATGTCCTTCCTGTGATAAATAGATCAAGCATGTCTCCTTTAACGTGTGTCTTTAAAGACATAGCTTATGTTTGTTTTTGTTTGATAAATGAATTTATCATGAAAAATGGAAAGTGTCAGTTGAAGTAATGGAGAATAGATGGGCAAACACACTAGCTAAACAAAGAGAACTAGAAGAAGTTGTAGATTTCTTAAAAAAATTGAAATAATTTATAATACACCTCTACTTTTGTTGATAAAAACACCAAATATATATATATATTCTACAACCCCAGCTTCAAATTTACTTACAAAAATATTTATTTACATTGTATTCAATGTCTCTAATATTTGAAATATTGTAAAAATTGAATCACTGGGGGGCCTAGGCCCCCAAAAAATCTGTTGAGTATTTACAAAGATATGATGAATTAAAAATTGGTCAATATTCGGAATCCTGTACAGATAATATAAATGGGATATGATCAAAAGTCAAGGCCACCTTCGTTAAAATCTTCTGATTGCTCTGTTTTTAATCCGACTCGGGAGATTTTCTAACGTTAATTTTACTTTCTTAAAGATGTATCATATTGTAATATATAGAATTCTGCCTTTTATATACGGCTATTGTTCAATGTGCACTTATCATAAATTATATCATTGTATACTTCTTTTCCAAAACGTTCAATCTTGCATTAAAATGGTCCTCAGTTACGAACATATTTATGTCACAACGTAGACGTCCACCTTGTGTCACGTGGATCTTAGTACCGACCTGTCAGATTGTTACATATATTATTTCTATTTGTTTATTGATAATTGCCAAGACTAGTATTTCATCTTGGTTATTATAATAATATATTTTATGGCCAGGGTTGACGTAGTTCAACTGGATTATATTGTTCCCTATAACGTCTTGAATAGTTAAACATGGTATGGTCACATTTGATCAAATTACTTGGTTCAATAGTTATTGTCCATTTTGTCTGTTTATAATCAATCGTTTTGTTGTACATCTCAAATTATTCCTGGTCAACTTTAAGTGAAACGGACAAGTTCGTTTTAATATTTAAGTAGGCTATTTTTCAAAGATGTGGCGACATCCAGAAAAGGGACAATTATTCATTGGTTGATAACGTCACGTGACAGTCTAATATTCCTATATAAAGGGTGCTAGAACGTCGGAAGAGCAGATAAAGGTTCGTTATATCCAAAGCTAACCAAGAGATAAAACCGATACTTTATAACAATTACCGTATAATCACAACCTTTTAACTAATTAGAAAGGTGATGGAACTTGGCCATACATGTTAATGTCATCATTAGTCAGGAGAGCCGCCATTATCACCGGATTAATAAATGTGCGATGTCAAGGACGTTAAGGTTTTGTGAACGTTATCTCCCACCACGCCGGACACCCATATTTATTATTATAGAATGATTTACTAACTGCATTTTATTGTTATTCGTGTCATGACATAACCTTGAAATAAAGGAACGGGCATATTGAAAGTATTATTAGCATTAGTCGTTACTTACTAGAGGAACACCAGAGTAACCTCCCCTGAATAGTTGGGAATGGCTTCGATGAATCTCGCATCTTGAAAGTTTGGGTTGGGTGTTATACAAAATTCGAGGGATGCCACCCCCCCACCCCCCAAATCCCACGGAACCGTCCAGAATAACAGCCATAAATTGTTCCAGACATCCACGAATCGTATCCTTCATATGTTACAGCCATAAATATACCTAACATCAATAAAAAATAGAAGTATTTATCACGAAAATATGCAATTTATGTGTGTCGTGTTTATAGATGGTAAAGTCGGCGGAAGTTACTATTAACTATGTATAGCACTATTCTGACAGGAATGTTACGATGCTGAGCAACGACCATCACTCCCCATGGAGATGTAGCTAGGCAAGGTGCGTGAGATTCGAACTTTTCCCTAGTTAAATCAATGTGCTGAAGAGCAGAGGTGATGCCCAGGAAAACATCTGGTAAATCTTGTAACCAGCGGCGCATCCCCTGGACATCACCATGTGTCTGGTTGCGAGTCGCATCTGCTTTAGATTGTGAAGAATCTGCCTTGCTGCATTGCCAGTTCCAGCATCCCTGCTATGAATGATAATTCTCTGTTTAGTTTAGGATCAGAATGTTGCAAGACCCTTCTGACGAATTTTTCCGGGCATGATGACTGATTCCTGGAGGTAAAGTCGTGTCCAATCTCCCCAAGAGCCACACATTTTTTTCCCTTCTATCCTTTTCCCCCAAACATTTTGAGATCATGGCCCATGGTCGTGGTGGAAACAAAATGTGGATGTAGCCCATAGGCAAAATGGGTGGTAGGGTCGGTTATACCTTGTGTTAAATGCCAAGATGATCGATCGACAAAATTAGCCACTACTGAATTTAGCCGGTCACTGGTGTTGATCAAGTTGGCAATGGGAGTCTGTAAATACGTAGGGGTTAACTATTCCGAAGGGTTCATTCAATAGTTCACCTATCTATATTCCTCAAGATGTGAACAGACTTTAATGTTCGACGAATGTCGATGGGAACTTGATGTAATATTCTTCCCATTATTCTCCAGTTGGTAAGGGCAAAGATTCCATTGAGGGGTGAAATTGTTAAAGGACCACCTGGCCTCTCCAAAAGGGCACGTCCACGATTTATTATGGCTGATTCCTTAACAGAAAACGGAGAATCAACGTCAGCGGATGTATACAACTGATTGGATATCAGATAATTTAGTAGGACATCCAAATCATGCAAATTCAACACGCTGCAGATTGAATACAGAAATCCCATCATTAAGGGCACCCAACGAGTCATCGAAAGCAGCGCCATCAGGGTCATGTGTATGGCGGGCCTGAATAAAGCAAGGAGTTGCCTCCTGCCTCCGACAAACCCAGCATGCAGTGGAGGGAGAGAAGTACCATGGCAGATAAACTAATGTCTCTTTAAATGCGGGAACTTTCGATCAGATACAGGACAAATCCTCCCTTTCTTGACTCTGGAGCCATGTTGTTTATTTGCCTATGCGTAGTCAAACGAGCCAGTTTCGTCCACCGTGAAATAATAGACGTTGTGGTCTCTTCAATGGAGAAGAATGTCTCCGATTTACTTAACGATGAAGTGGAACTATTTAAAAGAAAAAGAATAACCTGGTTCGAAATCCTCCATACCAGACATAATATTGTATGGACTAATTATAAGAAGTGTAAAGCTAAATTAGTTCCCGATCCTTTTTGTACCTTATGTGAAGATCAACGTGTTGAAACTTTGAGGCACATCTTACTAGACTATAAATATGTCAAATCATTACACGAGGTCATATATGACATGATTCAGGTGAATTTCTAGAGCAAAGGGTTTAGCAGGGATGATTATGTGGTTTGGTTCATGTTTGGATATCCCGTCCGAAAGGAAGCTGATAATTTATTTTTAGTATTTTTTATTCTCGGCTGCTAGATTGGCTGTTCTAAAGAGAAGGTTGTATTTCTTAAAGCAAAATCACAAGTTAGAAATACGTGCCGTATTTAAATCAGTTTTAACAGATCATATGAATAATGTTTATAATTATATGAAACATGATGGATTATTACACAAGTTTCAACTTTTATATCAATTAAATCCATATATAGAAATTGTTGATGATAATATCCTTGTGAAATTTAATTACTAGGATAATATAATTATACTTTTATAGTACTTATTATTTATAATATTTCTATACCTTTTAATCGTTGAATTTATCATTCAATATATTGTTTTATATTTACACTGTAATAAATAAAATAAATTAAAAGAAAAAGATTGTCCATCATCCAAAATATTTGCATATAACTTAAAATTGTCCGCCCAAGACCCTTTTTAAAAATAAAAAATAACACACAATCTAATACAATTCATACTTCTGTTAGACTGGTTAAAAGTGCTACCAAGACCCTGGTGCTCCCCTGGTACATATTTTGTACTGGTGGCATCGAAGTTGTAATATTTAACGGAGGACCCGTGTTGGTCAAGGGAGACAACTCGAAACGTATTGATGCCATTGAGTGGCGTGGTTTCGATTCGCCGCTTCTACGTGAAAAAGAGAAGGTTCGCTAGGCAACCCTAACCCTAACCCTAGAAGGTTCGCCTGTCCAATCTCATGGGTTATCCCGGGTCCTCCAATTGCCCCCCCCCCCACACGGGTACTCGCAAGCGAGTTATTGAGAGACGATTTTACTCTCTCACCATTGAAGGGTTTGACCTTTTCGATCTGATCTAGCCCCGTTCAAAGAAATCTATAGACTGTGACGTCATTTTAGTACGCAATATTCCTAATTCACGTTTGTTTACTTCCGGATCAGTCCAACTCAAATTCATGAATATTAACCAAAATCCTGGCAGCAATTATCAATTCAAACGTTCTTCGTCGATCCAAGATCAAAGGAAAAACATAAGATTCAAAACGGGGGTTTGGTGGTGAGTGGCTGAAAGTCATAAATCGTTAAATCTGGGGAAGCAATTAGTCAGGAAATTCAAAATTAACACGAACCCTTTAAGTCGGTGCCGACAAGTCGAACGTTAAACTCCATTCATTCTTGGGGGGTTGGATGGACGAATGGTTAGCGCGACCGCGTTTTATCATAAGGTCTGTCAATGACTGAACTGGTGTGGTTCGATTCCCCGGTCGCCTGTCCAACCTCGTGGGTTTTCTCCGAGTCCTCCGGTTTCCTCCTACTGCTAAAGACCCCTACGCACGGGCAAATTATTGAAATAAAATTGAACCATATTTATTTACGTCAATATTTACAAGCATATGTTACGTACATTTATATCATACTATACACAGATCTAAGTACATAAATCTATGAATGGGGAATCGGTATGGAGGATGTCTTAAACAGATATTTCCATTTATTTATGTATAATTCCGGAGATATCTCAATTTCCAATTTAGCATGTTCTACTAAAAAGCTTTTATACTATTAATATTAAGTATTTCGTTTCGTAGTTTAGCCCGATATAGCCTATATATAGAACTTAGTTAAAATAATTACATGATTAATGAAGATCCATTCAGTATTATTTATATAATCTGGGTGTTTGATATGTTTTTATATTTATCTTTATATTGCTGCGATCTAAGATAGTATGAAAATGATTCCATATTATTTGTGAAAATGGGCATAAAACAAAGAGATGTTCTACATTTTCAATATTAGATTCGCAGAAAGTGCAGAGTGTGTTATCTATTTTTCTAATTTTGCATAATTTATCATTTGTGAATATAATCCTATGGAGATATTTGTATTCAAAGCTCCTCAGTTTTGTACTAAGACATACAGTGTTTATTTTTTTTAAATGTACTGAGCGCCATGGAAAACGCATCACTTAGTTTTTTGTATCACAAAATGATCCTGTAAACATATCTTACTATATATAATTCTGAAACATAATCCGCTCCGATATCCTGATGTTTGCAAACATGCCAACAGTCATATTGTTTCATGTTTGCAAGATATGTACATATTGTAATAAATGTTTATATACTGAGCGCCATGGAAAACGCATCACTTAGTTTTTCGTATAACAAAATGATCCTGTAAACATATCTTATTTATTTTGCTTCTTATTGTGAACAATATTCAAATGGGAACACATCAATAACAACACATTTGTACACTTATGGATGTTTAATCTGTAATCAACGGTACAAAGTCAGAGGGGTCAAAACCAAAAGTACGACACAGATGTCAGTAGCGCCTGTGTCCTCCACGGGCTCTTACGCACGCTTTGCAGCGACGTCGCATGGAATTAACCAATGTTTGAAAGAAGGCCTGGGGCAAATTGTTCCATTCTTGGACAAGAGCAGCTTCTAAAGCAGCAATGGTGTGCATCTGTGGTCTCCGATACAGACGGCGTCCAATCTCATCCCAGACATGTTCTATCGGTGCCATGTCCGGAGACATGACTGGCCAGTCCAAGAAATTGATGTTGTTAGCAGCCAGGTAGTCCATACTAAAACGGGCGGTATACGGACGTGCATTATCCTGTTGGAAGTGCTGAAGTTATGGGTGCGCTCGAAACATCGGAACAACAATTGGTTGCAAGACATCATCACGGTAGGCTACAGCATTAACGCGACCCCTGCAAATGTGTAGGGCGGTCCGGTAATGAAATGTGAAGCCTCCCCACACCATTACACTTCCCCCACCCCATCGATTCGTTTCGGAGACTTAGCAGTCTGCAAGACGTTCCCCAAGACGTCTACACACACGTTGACGGCCATCAGCGTGATAAAGATGAAAGCGACTCTCATCACTGAAGAGCACACTTTGCCAGTCTACTCTTCTCCATGTCTGGTGTCCTTGACCCCATATCAAACGCCGCTGACGGTGATGATCCCTGAGGATAGCTCCAACATAAGGTCATCGTGCACGGAGTCCTACTTCTCTTAGACGACGTCTTACGGTGTTGGCACTTACTGGTCCTAGTCTTCCGACGACTGCTGCACCTGTTCTAGTCGCTGTGCGGAATCTATCACGCAGATGAGTGACACGGATGTAGCGGTCTTGAGCCTGGGTTGTAACGCGTTGTGGATCAGGACGCTGACGGTCACGTGTTGATCCAGTAACTCGAACACGTTCCACCAACCTTACAATAGTGGACTGATGACAATTGAAGTGTCTGGCATTCATTCCGTTGATTTTCAGTAAGTCTCGGCATCTCTAGCTCGATTCCTTCACACGTCCAACAACAAATTACGACAGATTGACGTTTCACAGTTCATGTACTGCACATTAAGTTGAAAACATGCCTTTAAAGGGCTCACACACAATGCTGCACGTGAATATTGGGTTTTTCATGTGCATCTCGTGCAATTTTTTTTGCACACACGGGCCGATATTTTTTGCGTTTGGGAGCATTGTGTGAAACAATAGTTCATAGTATTGCATAATATTATTCATACAAAACCACCTAGTAATAAAATATTTGGGAAAAAAAGTGATGCGTTTTCCATGGCGCTCAGTATATTTTCTACGTCAAGATCGCTTAACTCTGTATCTAGATTGTGTTCTTCAATGGCTTTTGGCCTGCTGAACTTTGCTTTTATCCGGCTATCATAAATATCTTTTGAATCTACGTTGTGAAATTCGGTTTTATATGTAAAAATTAGTATTTATATCTTCCAAAGGAATTATATTAAAATTTAAATTTGTATTTATCGCACTTTGAACTTCGTTCGGTTCCTGTACATACCTCAAGATACATTTTTCTAACCCATTTAAGATAAATCGATGTTTTTCTAAATATTGATTATCGATATTATTTATTTTATCAAAATATTCACTAACGTACCGAATATTATTGTTAAAAAGAACTTTTAAAAATAATATTATAATTTTATTATTAATCTTTATATTTGTATTATTCCAAATAATTTGATTTTCAGCTTGCGCAATGTTCTTTATATGCGTTGTGTAAATTTTATACCAGTTGCAAGAGGTTTTTATAAAAAGAAATGTTTAAATTTTGCTTTTCTGGAAAGTTGCAAGCAAGTAATAAATTTCCACCATATTCAGCCATAATTAATTCTTATGGTATGAGCCATGTTTGGACGGGTGACTGGTATATTTTTTTAATCCAAAAAATGCTATTACATCAGGAATTCTTTTAAGTCAATCACTTTTAATCCGCAATTTTTATTGTTCTGTATAAGAATATCTCGCTTTATTCTATCAGGTCCGTTCCATATAAATTTGTAAAATATTGAATTAAGTTTTTGAATTGTAGAATCGGATACTGGATTAACAGTCTCAATATCTCAAACAAATGTCGTGCAGAGCTAAAATCTTTTAATAATGTCATTATATCGTCTGCAAAAGCTACAACTTTTATGGATTTACAACCAAATTTTATTCCATTTATATTTACATCGTCTCTAATAGCGTCTAATAACAGTTCTATGATCAAATTAAAAAGATTGGATGACATTGGATCGCCTTGTCGAACACGCCTTTTTACACAACAGGTGATATTCTTCTAAAGGGCCATCTAATAAAGTTACGTCCGAAACCGTACGACGATAAAGCTTGTATTAAGAAATCATGGTTTATGCTATCGAAGACTTTTTGGAAATCTATAGCCAAAAGAGAGCCAATTATTCTTTTTTGTTTTGCAAGATCAAAGCAGTCGGAAATAATGCGGGTATTTTCATGAATGTGGCGACCTGGTATAAACGCGGATTGGTTAGGGTGTATTAATTGGTTTAAAAATTGTTTTAATCTGTTAGACAAAACTTTGCTCATCAACTTCACATCGACATTAACAAGCGTAATAGGTCTCCAGTTAATTAAGCATGTTCTATCGTTATTGCCTTTAGGAATGAGTTTAATAACTGATTAACGTTGTGTTACGGATAAAGATTCTTCTTCAAAGCTACAGTTATATGAGTCTAATAATAATACATAAATATCAGGCCAAAAATGTCGATAAAATTCAATTGTGATACCATCATTTCCTGGAGATTTATTTACTTTAAACGAGTTTAAGGCCTTTTGAAATTCGAAGAATTTTGAATTCAAATAAATCCTTCTGATATTCATTCAGCCTTTCTACAGGTCTAAAATTTGTTATAAAAGTATTTTCCTTTGTAAAACACCAATCTCTCAACGCATATAAGTTTTTATAAAATAAAAATATTTCACCCGATATTTCAATGGGGTCAAATATAATGAAATCGTCTGATTTTTAAGCTTTTTTTATTGTAGTAGCACACTTTCTTTCTTTTT